AAAAAAAAAAAAAAAAAAAAAAAAAAAAAAGGCCGCGTATCGACAAGAGGAAGTTGTCTCCAAAGGGATGTCCTTCAGGTGCGCTCAGCCTCGCCACTTCCTCTCAGTTGAGGCGGAAGCGGCTAAAAAGGACCAAGGTGACACTGGAACAGAACCGGAACCTGACGAAATGGACTGGGATGGATTTGGCACTACTTTGGAAAACAGATTACAAATTGTAGGTAAATGTTAATGACAGTAACTTTAATTCAGTGGACCGATTGGCATTCAACCCAAGTGGCTGAGCGACGTTGATTTGATAATGTTATTGATCTGATCATTTCAGCGCAACTAGAATTTAACACGGGAACAAACCGTTCGTAAAAGTGTACAGACAAATGTTACAAGTAACATTTTCGCATTTCATAACAGTAAGAAGTTAGCATTTTACATGAACTTCTGTTCATTTAGAATATAAAAACTTGGACACCGACCCATCTTGAGAGGGAACGATATGTGTCAATTGAGCTAATGACACTTGGCAAAAATATTAAAAACCAAAATAATTTCAAGAAACGAGTGCCGGATTTTCCGTACTATAAGGCACTTCGGAGTTTAAGGCGCAGCTTCAATGAATGTCCTATTTTAAAACAGTTTTCATATGTAGGGCACACTGCCTTTTCAGGTGCATAGAATAGAAGTTATAATCGCGGCTGAGGCTGCGTTATGCATCCACTAGATGGAGCTACTCTAAAGGGAATACGATACAATACAATACAGCTTTATTGATATTGCGCTTTCGCGAAACTGCTGCAACTGTAAAAAAGCGCTTATAGAACTTTTAAAATACGATGTCCAAGAAGTCGGAATATTGGCGCATCGGATTATAAGGCGCACTGTCGGCTTTTGAGAAAATTGAAAGCTTTTAGGTGCGCCTTATAGTGTGGAAAATACGGTAATTTCCTTCAGACAAGATAAATGATTACGTCCATGGTTCTCAGAAAATAATTTATTCTCACTTTTTGTCCTTTCGTTAAAAGTTTGACATTCTCAAGACAAATAGGGCCAAGCTGGGGCGCTACTTTCCAGCGTCCAAGTTTTGTATCTCCTCACACGTCCACCATTTTTAAGGCAAGTTTGTTCGGATTGGTTAACCACTTAATCTTATGTTGACCCGGTGGGGTTATGCTTTCTCAATCATATTCCGCACATATACAACCGATTGAAGATTCTCTTGTTTACGATAAATAAAACATGATTGCGGAAATGTCTTTCGCTGTGTTGCAATCGCCTTAAGAATACCGTTTGTCCACTGACTCGTCATCTTGAGTATTGAGTTTAGTGGGTAGTGCCAAAGACAAAAACTTCAGTCAAGTAATGCTGGATGAAACTGTTGATGTCGTTACCCGGTCCAGCAGGAGGTAAACAAAATACCCTTTAAATTGATTTTGATTCATTTGGTAGAAATGACATCTGGCAATTTGGAAAGCCGCACTTTCAAAACATTAATACAGCCCAGGGGCTTTCCACTTACTCGGTTTTGAAGGCACTAGTAGACCTCGTTTCATTTTCTATTAATAGCAGTGGGGGATCAGCCATGTAGAAAAGCCGACAGGGCACAGAACAAGTACTTTTATGGGGAAAAAAAACTGAGCGTGGAAAATAGGTGGCTTGGTTATTTTGCAAATGTCCACATATTCGGGTAGTGTTTTCTTACAGCGAATACCTTGCCGATGATGACTGGTTCCTAAGAAATGAATATTAACCAGAGCACACTTGACATTGAGATCTTTTCACTCCTGTTATGGATGGTTGCTGCCGACCATGAGCTCCAGTGTAAGGCTAAACTTGTCTATCAGGTCAGCTCCTCACGTCACCGTGTTGATCTTTGAAGCAGAGCTATATTAAGGAGAGATTAGACGAACAAAGGGAAGGATTTCTTCTGGCTGCGGGCAGGAACGCACATTTTGTGACATATTTTGTGGTAAGATAGTTTTTGTTTTTTTTTTAAATCCTTTGCTGTTGAATTAATTCGAGACTTGCAAATTCGATTTTTGTTTTTCTTCGAACAATTTTACAAACTCCAGCTGTGTCATCGCTCATCTTCCTGTCATTCTTTGAAAGATGATTTAGGGGGAGACGGGTTTAGAATCTGGTCTTCGTGAAACTTTCGGAAATGATTGTCATATATCTAGAGTTACAGTCGGCCCTTCTAAAACAGAGGTACCTGTAGTCCTTTTCAGGATATGCTGTACAACATTTGATTTGTTCGGATTTAAACAACGCAAGTGTTGGAATTTACTCTATTCACAGCAACATTCTGAGTATTGTTTGGAGTAACCCTTGAAACATCGGTGATCATGTCAATGTCATGTCAATGCATAAATAACTATATGATGAGTATGAGTAGTGATGAATTACTTAATTTTTCTCCTTGGTTTATTGTTCCTGGCACACTTGGCTAACAATCAAACAGACAACTCGGCAAGGGGGGATAATCTTAAATGGAACTGTTTGGTCACAGGTTGCTGCATTAGTCTTTGGAATCTTTTTGGACTTTTTTGGATCGCTGAGTCCACAACTAGCTAAAAATGTCAGAAAGTAAGAAGGGACATTGTTTGTGTTCAAATATGTGAAAATTAAATGAGGCCTATAAGCTTTGTTTCCAATTTTAACGCTTTCAGGGACAGCGGTTATACTACAGTGGACATCTTATATTATCAGGTTACAGGTTATAATTACTGGTGCATGAAAGGGTTTTAAATACAGTTTCCAACTACCCCCGCGTGATGGTATGGAGGAGTATTTCTTCTCACATGTACGTAGAAGGTAGGCGCCAGCTTGGCATCAATGGTAGTCATCGCAGTGCGTATGGTGTGACTTTTCGGGCTCGACTCAGCCCAATGTCGACAACCATCTACTGTTGGCTTGGCGTTCCCCAACCTGGCCATTCCTTCTTTTTATCTTTGTTTCAGGCAATTCCGATAACAAATGAGGAAACTGGTCAGACAGAGCATACTTTTAGGTATCAACGGTGCACAAGCCACAGTGGTCGACTGTTTAACACGTCCACCTTTCAGTGCAGAGGTTAGGGTTAGTGTCTGTGTGGGTTTTCTCCGGGTACTCCGGTTTCCTCCCACATTCCAAAAACATGCATGGCAGGTTAATGAAACACTCTAAATTGTGCCTTGGTGTGAGTGTGAGCACGAATGGTTGTGTGTCTATGTATGACCTGCCTACTGTCTGAAGATAGCTGGGGTAGGCTCCAGCACACTGCGCTGCTCGTGAGGATAAGCAGTTTGGGTAATGGATGGATGGATGGATGGTGTGCCCGACCACAGTACAGATTTAGTATTGTGATGGATGGATGGTGTGCCCGACCACAGTACAGATTGAGATAGTCGAATAGTTTGCTCGAAATTGCATGCATCGGAAAAGTCATTAAAAAAAAGTACCATCAACTATTCACCATCCGCATCTAACTGTTTGCGGTTAACCTCCAGGAGCGGGACATTGCCCAAGTTTCAGAACTGCGCTGTGTCCAACTGGAGAAGGCACAACGTGAGCTGGAGCGACAACTATCTGGCCTGTCAGACCGTTTGGAAGAAGGGGAGGTCCGTTCAACTCAGCTGGCTCTCCACAGAGACAGGATGGAGGAAGAATGTAACAGCCTCAGACAAGACTTGGACCAGTTGGAGGGTGCCCTGATTGCGTGTGAGCGGGATAAAGAGGTAGAGAACCGTTTCCACTTCTACCTTTTGACGTAGAGGCTGATAAATTATGTTTTGCAGTATGTCATCACCAATGTGATCTCACCAAAAGTTAAATGTGAGTATTCTTGGGCTATCGTAAAAAATTTATCTAGATTGATATATTAAAATGCAAGGGAAGGCAAACCAGCTCTTGAAAAGCATTTACAGACAAATCTAGAGCATTTAATCCATCAAACCATGCATGTTTTTCGAATGTGGGAGGAAGCCGGAGAACCCGGAGAAAACTCACGCAGGCACGGGGAAGAACATGCAAACTCTACGCAGGAAGGCCAGAGACCAGATTCGAACCCTGGACCACTGTACTGTGAGGTGGACGTGATAACCAGTCTCCCATCATATATACCGTATTTTCCGCACTATAAGGCACTCCGGAATATAAGGCACACCTTCAATGAATGGCCTATATTAAAACTGTTTTCGTATATAGGGTGCACTGCATTATATAAGGAGCATAGAAGAGAAGCTACAATAGTGGCTGCGGTTGTGTTATGCATCCACTAGATGGGGCTACGCTGAAGGGAATACAATACAATACAATACAGCTTTATTTATATCAAGCTTTCACAACCGGTGCAGCTGTGACAAAGCACTTTACAAAACAATTAAAATACGACGTCCAAGTAATCAGGATATTGATCCATATGTAAGGCACATCGGATTATAAAGCGCACTGTTGGCTTTTGAGAAAATTGAATGCTCATACAGAGGCCACAATGACATGGCCATTTGAGCCCCCAGCTAAATCTCTCTGTCTGCCTCACTGAGGTGTAAAAAAAAAATACAATAAAAATAAATTAATAAGATGCTATCTTTGTCCAGGAATGCCCAAAGAGTGCAGGACACCAACGTTACTGCATGCTCATAGAAAGATTTACTGCATGGTGCAGATTAGCCCTCCGCAAATTTTCCACAGTTAATTTGAAGAGGTCTGTAGAGTTTAAGAGGTTAGCTCTGCAGACACAACAGAGCTTTCAAGTTTAACAAGACGTTTGTTGGCCAACTAAGATCAAGCTCTTGGGGAAAATAAATGCTGTGGCCATATTTATAGTTTCCAGTAATTTTTCAAAATTCCGGATGGAGAGATGTTATGGAAACAAAAAAAACTTTCATTGAGTTTTCTGTTTGTTCAGATCTTATTTAATTACTTCTTGAAGACAATGATGGGCTTTATTTTCAGAGACGATTGCATGCTCGCTCGGACATAAAAAACGCCTTATAAACCTACGTTGCGCGCTTCAAACTTCTGCACGGACTCCAAAGAGTGTATTTTGCTGCACCCGTCTGCGAAAATTCAACAAGAAAGAAAACTGCACCCATATGCACAATGTGACCATGCTGGGCATGACAATGGAGCCCTGGGTATTTTGTGACCAAGCCAATGAAGCAATTCTGCCAGTTCGCAGATTCGGAACTTCCGTGTTTCTCCCAGTCAAATCATAACAGGAATCCAATGACAAAAAAAATGTGAAATCCTTAATGGTTCACCAGAGAACAGAAATTCTGGTAAAAGACGCCTTCTAATGGGAAAGAAAACAATATAATGGCAGACTACAATGGATCCATAACATGTGGTCATATTTTAGCTCAAGAAAACATTTTCTCTTCTTACAAAATAGGAGATCCAATCTGTCATCAGTGAAAATCATGACAATGACATTGAATGAATGTTTTAGCCGCAGTTTGTCATGGTGTGATGCAGCGTGAGTTGGAAACATCTGGATCATTGTCCTCGTTTTTTTGGTCCCCTTGCAGCAAGCTATGGAGGACCTGCACAGCGAGGAGGAGAAGGTGGATCTATTGACACAAGAGAAAATGCAACTACAGAAACAGGTGGAAGATGTGAGTACTTCCTGTATGCACTTCCCGGAGTTACACTTAATAAAATGATTGGGTCAGTGTCTTTGCAGACTTTCTCTTTGAGGTCCATATGGCCTCATTGCTCGACCAACGCAGAATTGAATAGATTTCATCATCGTCGGTTATCAAATTGATGGAATGACTTCCATTCATCTTGAGTGAATTATCCCGACACTGCAAATCACAGTTCCACTCATCGGGGTCTGCCACCGAAGAGCCTCGTAGCGCCAGTGATAGTAGCGCTCACATCAGAGCCCCCAGACTTTGTTTCCTCTTTGGAAGGGGTGGAAGTGACATGCAAAGCTGATTGGCCAATGGGTCCCTATCAATTTGCAGCCTCTCGAATTTCAACAGGACAAAAAAGGCCCAATACAACTCATTTTTTAAGCTTGATTGCATTCCTCATCATCTGTGTCCACCAATGGGTTTGTAGACCACCGTATCATGGGTCCCGGGTATCTTACGGCCACAACTCTCGTCAGCTGCCTCAACAAAGGAGGCACCTGATATGGATCACTCAGATTTGACAGCCCCACCCATTTCTTCACCTGAGTGTCCAAAACATGTGGCGACATGTCCAATCACACAATCGCAAATAAGATCGTCAAATCGTGACCTTGGGTGCCCTGGTGCTATGTGCACATTATATCAACGCTGATGTTTGATTATGGTGTTTATTTTGGACAATCCACGACAAACATAATAGTCCAATAACAAAGCACTACTCATGTTCGGATTGGAAGGACTGGTCCTCCCAGTTATGCCTTTCTAAGTCGCATTGTTATTGGGACTGCCCAGTGAAAGTGGTTTCCATCAACCCATCCGAGGACTCAAGAGAGGAAGAGAGTCCTGAAAAAAGATAGTTCCAGAGCCCGAGTTGCGCATTGAGGTGAGTCCAACTATATATAGTTGGATCCTCTCGAGACTCACACACAAGCTCAGGCTCCTTCCCTGCCAGAGTGGTGCCATTCCAAGTGCCTAAAGCTACTTGTGTAGGACTGGAACGCCAAGGTCGGCAACCAATACCCAACTCACATTGCTCCGCCACCTACCCATTCGGCCCCTTACACCAGTGGTGAACCCATGGGAAGCGGGACCCCACCAGCAGGCCTGATGCCGCAGGACGGCCCCGATCACAGACGTCAGGGAAAGACCCCTCACCCAGGACCCGTTTGTCCTGAATGACTCTGTCGCGGGCATAAAGCCATCAGCAAATTAGCTCTCCATCAGTGCGCAATTTGAATTTTATTTATGGTGAGGCATTTGACATGGGCAGCCATTTCAATTTTGAGGGATTCTGACAATCCCACCTCCACCATGATAAGGTGACTAGAGAAGGAAAAATTCTGGTGTAGCATGAAAGCATAACTCTCTCTCAGATCCGCTGCACAAAAAAGACAAAGAAAATAATGACTGATCGGGTAGACAAATGAAGCGACACCTACACGGATAATATTACTCTTTCATTCCACAAGACGTACTTGTACATCTTTTTAAAATTAGGCCCCGCCTACCAAGGACGTACTTGTACGTCAAAGTCTTTTTTTTTTTTTTTTTGCGTCATAGAGAGAGAGAATGAGAATAAGCTGTCTGCATTGTAAATCATGTAAAAAAGTGACCAGTAGGTAGCAGTGGTGCTTCACGTGCTTGAAATGCATGCTTTTACAAAAAGCTCTTTTTCCCCGTTTTTTGCCCAGAAATCGTCATTTTCATGAAACTTAGCCATTTTGTAATGCCGATTGCTGAAGAATGGAAAAAGATAGAAACACATTTTTTTTTTCTGCTGAAAGAAGAGAGTCCAAACTTTATTTTGGTAGGCTCCATGTTTATATACCATAAGAACCAAATATTCTGTTGCAAGATCAGTCAAACTCCAGTAAAACGCTGGGATTGAGGGGGTTGCTCCAGTGAAAATGGCTGGGATTGAATGAGTTAATACTATTAAAAATGTTTTATGTGAAAATAGAGACACGATTACAGTACCTTTAATTAGAAAGGAGCGTATACAGGATTGATCCATGCGTACGTGATCAAAATGAGAAAACGAACCACGCCAATACAATTGTCTGGTCAACTGCTGTGTCAAGTGTAATGGCGTGGTTTGTATGTAGCTGGAGTATCAGCTGGAGCAGGAGCGCTATCAGCGTGAAGAGCTGGAGAAGAACAGTGGGAAGGTGGAAGGCGACAACCCATGCGCTCAGGAGACTTTGGAAGCAGCGGACAAGACAAGGAATGGCCCAGAAGAGATCATCAAAAGGTCAGATTTTGATTTGCACTCATTTTCTTGAATTTCGAAATGCAACGGTGATCAATTAATTTTTTTTTTGGGGGGGTGGTAGAAAGTGCATTAACCCTTTCATGCACCAATAATGATAACCTGTCACCTGATAACATGATAAGCTGTCCACTGTAGTTGCTGCTGACCCTGAAAGGGTTCAAGAACTGCCATGCAATGTCATGATATCCTTAATGATGATTAGATTGATTATTGAAAGTAGTCGACAGTGCCTCCACCAAGGCCAAACAAATCTAAATAAGTCTGTCGATGGCAGTCATGTATATCACAAAGTAAGTGCGCCTCAAATGAAGCCGAATTAACGTTGGTTTAACCCGATGCATAACACAATTTTTCCAATTCCATTGTGATATGATAAGTGTGTGTGTGTGTGTGTGTGTGTGTGTGTGTGTGTGTGTGTGTGCACGCGCGCAAAATATGGAATTTGAAGGGGTTTTGTTTTTGTTACTTTGGGATCATAAAATCGAAAAGTATCTTTGGCACAAACACAACACTTCTCATCATCAAAAGAACATCACACCTCCATACTGGCAGTATCATGCTTTTGGGGTTGTTTTACTTCTACAGGAACCGGAGGGGGGTGGGGGGGCTTTGTCAAGGTGGCGGAAATTATGAACAGTTCCTAATACCAGCTTGTGTCAGCACAAAACCTTCAGACTTCTGCTAAAAATGAAAATCGCAAAGAATACCAGAACAGGTCAAATTCATTTGGCGCAGGTTGCCGCATTTCCAATTATAAGAGGGTATGCACACTTGTGCAACCCCGTTATCTCATTTGTTTATTTTCATTTGCGCTTCGACTGTAAATCGCAGTAATTATTTATCCTTACTATCCTATTAGAATCACAATAACCTCAAAACAGAGGTGTGTAAACTTTTCAGATCCTCGATATATGCGAGCACGCTCCGTACTTGCTTTACATTATTCAAAAAACTTTATTGCGAACATAAAGTAAAAAAAAAAAAAACAATCCACTGCTGTGACATACATTCATTTTGAAAATATTTCCAAACCAGTGGACTATAAAAAAACGTCTTGTCATTTCCTTATAATGAACTTCTAGTGAAGCATGAATGCTTCAACTCTGACATGCTGGAAGATGTCTCCTCTTTTGAGGTTCACTCTCCACCCGCATGCACACACTAATAAGAGCAAACAGAGTCATCCACAGTAACAACTGTCATAATACACCCTCTCTGACACGCTCTGTGCACTCCAATGAGCAGTTTAATCTGCATGAGAATGTTTCAACCCGCCGGTCATTCTGTTAAAAGATTCTCTGTCATCATGATCATTAATAAAAGTGAATGAGTCACTCTGTTGCTAAGATACTTTTTTTTTTTTTCAAAACAGTCCATGACTTAAGTTAATACGAAACCTGTCACTCAAGTCATTTCATATTTCTTCCATTTTATTGGCATTGGTCTAAGAACATATTCTGCATGATTATAGTATGGGGGCGGGGGGGGGGGGGATACGTGCACTTGGTTCAACCTTTTGTACACTTGCACACTCTGTCGAGATCCAATGCAAGGCAAAGCAAGTTTATTAATGTGGCAATAAAACACGGGGAACATCACGGTATTAGTATATAAATTTACTGAGTATCTACAGCACTACAGATAAAATGTTGAATACAAGTACATTAATAAGCTGTATGTCAGATTTGTTACCTGACACTGCAGGGCAGATGTGCCTCCGACGCACATAATAGCTGCTTCAGAGCAAGTACCGTATTTTCCGCACTATAAGGCGCTTCGGATTATAAAGCGCACCTTCGATGAATCGTCTATTTCAAAACTTTTCGTATTTATAGGGCGCATCGCGTTATAAGGCCCAAAGAATAGAAACTACAATAGTGCATACGGTTGCGTTATGCATCCACGAGATGGAGGTACGCTAAAGGGAATACAATACAATACACTACAGCGTTATTTATGTAGCGCTTTAACAACTTCTGCAGCTGTAATAAACCACTTTACAGAACATTTAAAATACTGCGCCCAAGAAATCAGAATATTGATCCATATATAATGCGCATCGGACTATAAGGCACGCTGTCGGCTTTTGAGAAAATTGAATGCTTATCGGCGCGCCTTATAGTGGGGGAAATACGGTAAGTCAAATAACTGCTAACATATGAATTGAGAGTAAAGATGACGACGTTTCCCTACGCCAGGGCTTGTCTTGTTTTATGACAGGTAATAAAAACTCTCTCAGGCTTGTCGCTCATCACACAAATTCGATCTCTGTCAGACATATTCGGCTCATGTCAGATTTATTGACAGCAGCGTTGCTTCATCACATCCATGTGTGAAGTCATCCGTGTCAGTCGAAGACAGAGCAAGCCTAATGTTCAGCTCATGTTTTGTTGAGTGTTTGTATCATGAGACCTCCTCCCAAAATACAAACAGATCAATGAGACCACAATTGAGGCATACCTGAACAAGACACGAGTGGTTGCGGAGGGAAGCTGATGAACAGAATCGATGGTGTCTTTAATGTAGTACTTTATGACTTAAAACTTTATGACTTTTGTCGTTTCAAATCACTTCATCTTCTTTATCAACATAGGATGGACATGGAGATAAGCAGTACCCGCTCCAAGCTTGAAGCTGAAGAGGCTCTCCGCAGTGGACTGCAGAAGAAGAGCAAAGAACTGCAGGTAAAATTCCATTCTGTTCACCGAGGACGTGTCTGTCACGGCCTTTGTTCTATTTTTTAGTTTTTCGAAACTTTCAATGATCTTCCATTGGCAGAGTTTTGTGCGTTCAAACACTGGAACGCCCTCCCCGCTCACATGCTGTGTAATTGCACATCCACAACAGTAGGTGGCGGTCACGCTTTCATTTTCAGAATTTGTGTAGGGATTTTAAACAATATTAAACGTTTCATGCACAAATAATAAAAACCCTGACGATAAACTGATAAGCTGTCCACTGTAGTAACCGCGGTCCCTGAAATGGATAATAAAGTTATTTAGCAGATTTATATTTCTTTTTTTCCTTTTAATGTTAATAAGGACACAATGTAATGCAGAGTTGTACAATTTTATAACTGAATGGTGGGTGGGTGGACTACGTGGAAGACTAAACGGTACAAATGTAAAATTACAAACGTGAACATAAAAACGAAAAGCCCTGGGGTCATTTCTGATGGTTTCACCCACAAGTACAAACTGTAGTAAAAACCGTGGCTGGAATTCTAACCTGCACTTTTAATTGGTACGTGCTTGGAGATCAGTGTGAGGAAGGGCGCAAACTGTAGCTCGCACAGCAGTAAGTGACGCATTCCTGCTTTTCAACAGCGCTGCTGGGCAGATTTCACAGATGTCAGGGGAAGGTTAAAACACAAACTCAAATTGATAACTTCCGGACAATGATGTCACTTTGTGAAAGGTGAACTAGCAATTTGCTTTCTTCCGAAGACTTACAATTTGGATTTTTATTTTCCGGCATCTTGCCAAACTACACCTCTATAAATTGTGTTAATCATTTTTGCTTCGCCTTTGCTAATATTTGTTTGCACAGAGTGGCTCTAAAAAGTCATTAACACTAAATGGATTAAAAAATATATATATCTACTTATACAACCCCATCATCAACCACCGCAAAAGTCTTTAACCAGGTCAAGAGAACCTGTCGTCACCTGCTGATCCTTCAAGCCAGCCAAACAGCCATAAATGACTTTTAGAAGCCCCGCGCTGCCATCTGAAGACATTTAAAAAGAACAAAGCGGTAAATTCCAGCCGTGTTGCCGGGGACCTGAATTATGTGAGCATGTGTGGACAGTATGGTGGGCTTTTGTCCGCTCCGCAGGAGGTCTGCAAGGCTCGGTGTTGATGATTGCCGAGCATTACTTGCAGTTGTTTGGCTTATGTTTTCCCCTTTGATCGACTCGGGGGGAATCACAGAGGATAGAACTACCCACGCCTGCTGACAATCCCATCAGCCACGGGAGAAGAGACCTTAGCGACGAGAGGCCACATCTGATTGTAATTTATAGCCAATTTTTCATGTCAGAGGCCGGGCTGGGTGGGAGTTAATGCAATATAAGAGAAGTCCGTTCATAAAAATCACTCTAACTGAAACATCGGAACTCGTCTAAATTGTCCGCGTCCACTAAATCTGCCGTCTTGACGCCCTCGCGTTCTGTTGGATGTCACAATGTTGATTTTGAGGTTGAGGAAAGTAGAAATGTAACAAGAAACAGATATGTGCGCGGCGCATGCTGCGCGGGGCTGAGAAAAGAAACCGTGCACGCGCAAAGGGGGGTGTGGACAGGAAAGGGGTTTTACAGTGTGTGCGTGCGTGTGTGTGTGTGTGTGTGTGTGTGTGTGTGTGTGAGAGAGAGAGAGAGAGAAAGACAGAGAGAGAGAGATACACACACACAAGTCAGACAGTCAAGCTGCTGCGTAACCATGGCCGTTCTCTCTGCAGAGGTCCTTTGCTGGCATGTGAGTGAAATGACTTTTTTTCAAGTGTTTTACATTTTTCAAAACTTGCTTCAATCCTTGGGAAGTTAGAGGATCAATTTTTTTTTTTTTTTTTTTATAACAAGGGACTTGCAAAATGTAGACAATATTTTCGGAAAGATTTTTGCCTGCATTAGGGAATATCAGTCAATGTGGTGTGTTGATTTTGTCCAAAAGTACCTTGTAGTTTTTCGGGGAGCTGTGAGGAGCATGTGAATGTCGTTCACCTGTGCTGTTGTGTGAACGGCCCTTGGGCTATACGCCCTGTCAGGACCATTTCCTTGACAATATGACACTTGGATGGAGGTTGCAGATAGCACGGGAACATGACACAACATGGAGAGATGAACCGCTCACGGAGGAACTGGCAATTGAATTCCGATTCGTAAAACAAAATATGGCTTTGGCCTTGAGGTGATGATGAAAGCACGAGTGTGTTGCAGATGATTTATTGCCGCAGCATCATTATGATTTCCTTGAACGCAGTCATTTCTATTATGACTGTGCACATTTGTGGGTTGCATGCAAATATTTTACCAGTGATGAGGGCTAATACAACATGATCTCTGTGGGTGGTATGCTGTTATATACTAAGTATATGTCATTTTGAAAATGCCCTGCTGAGTAGCTGTAAATAGGTGTCACCTTCGCAAATTCGGCATTCATTTTTGAATGTTAAATATAAGACGCCGTTACAAGTGAATTATGTCAGCGGTGGCTCAAAGCAGCAATAGCCACACACAACTGAATGCCAAAATAAATGTCAATTCATGCATCCTATTTTAGTATGGAATTTATTTATCATGGTTCTGTAAAGGAAAAAGCTTTATCAGGGTCTTATTTAGATATTTTGATTTTACAAAATATAACACAACGTTCCATGAATCAGTGAAAATATATGCAGAAGCATTTACTTAAGTGTCGTGATTTAGTCTGCTACCTGCGATGACACCAAAAAAATGACTAATCGTGTTGCGGGCAGTGCATTTGGGACGTGCACCTTCAGCGGGGACCAAGGATATTATAGTTCAAGAAAATGAATGAAAAAAAAGCCTTCGTTAAGAAAATAAAAAACTAGTAATGAAAATGATAAAAAACTAACAATAATTTAAAAAAAAGAAAACGAACAAAATACATCTAGCATTTTGGTTTTTCTCTATGTCTGTACAGAAGACGGTCAGTTGTTTGACAATTAAAGTTGACTTTATTAAACCCATGAGGGTAGGCATAGTAAGATCATGATTCTGCCTATTTTCCCTTTTAGACAATGAGTATATTATATTTTGTTCGCAAATGGCTTGTTGTGATAATATCAGAAAAAAATTATGAAACTGAAAAAAAAAAACACAACACGGTGACATTTTGTTGTCTTGCGCTTGACAAATATTCCATATTTAAAGATATTACAACTAATACTAAAACTAATACAAACTAAAAGCTATTATAACCGTGATAGGGGCTTCATTTTGCAAAAGAAAATACAAAAACACAGCATAACTATGCACGGCATTATAGAGCGAGAGTGGCATTTTGCATATTTGAGGTTGAATACCGTTGTTATTATTATTATTATTATTATTAAGAAACATGGTGAAATGTTTATCTTTCAAAACATCAACTGCAAACTTCTACACTAAGTTCACAATCAATTTGTATCTAATATGGTGACACCAGAGTTGGCTATCATTGATAAACCAACTCTGGTTTATCTGGTTTATTTTGCTTTTCGCAGTTGCGTTGGGTAGTCAGAGCTAGCTAGCTAGCTGTTGCTATTATGGAAAGTGATAAAGAAATCCTTTTCTGGCTCGAAACAAGCCAGTCAACGTTGTTGGCCTACATATAATCAAAAGTCACACATTTTCCTTGAAAAATCTGCCTTAAAAACACATTTTTAATCGTCAGACCTCGTCCTCTTGTTTGAATCAGTCATGAGTGTACATTGTTAGCTCAGCAAATCCGAAGAGTTAGACATAGAAAGATGATCAAGCTCAACCAATCAGAGCACACGAAAGTGATGACATCACTCTGAGCCAGAGCGAAAACATGAGAGTGGTACATCTGAAATTTGCAATCTATATGATTCTGTCGTGGTTATAACCTAAATTCTGTTTTTACAATATGCCCTTCAATCTCTACTCTGACTGGTAAATGCAAAATAAAAAATAAAAAAGATATCACAAATTCCTCAAATGTTTGGACCGGCTTCCAAACCGGACATAGTAGACCCTGCCCTTGGTCAGAATACCGACAATGACTGTGGCTACAGACATTCTTGCTCTAAATTGCTACCTGAGGTAAATCCAGAAGCATGCCAAATCCGAAGAAACAGACGATTGTCGGGAGCCGACCGAGCGACCACACAAGTGCTGCCCTGAAATAGCAAACAATCTGCTGGGGTGACAAGCCGATGCATAAAATAACTCCAAAACGTCTGATCTTCTCGTCGTACTTACTGTACTTGAATATAAATTATATTCTTGCTGCACTAAATCCATTCCAACTCTGTGTCCGTTCAGGCCCGCATTGAGGAGCTTGAGGAGGAGCTGGAAGCTGAACGGGCCATAAGATCAAAGGTATGATGCACCATAACGGCGGTCCTCTCCGCAAATGAAAAAAAGAACAGATGTGACTTTGAGATGTCGGGCGAGCTTGCGAAGCAGATAAGGAGCATCTCAAAATTGAGCCTGTGGCCCGGCGTTAGTCATCAGTCCACTGGTGCAGAAAGCTATTTGTGAGTCTGGATGAAGAAATCGAAGATCTCACCGTTATAAGATCTGCATTTCTCGCAATAAACTTTAGGAGGAGACCTTGTGTTCCTGATTAACATACCGTATTTTCTGCACTATAAGGCGATTCGGATTATAAGGCGCACCTTCAATGAATGTCTTATTTTAAAACTGTTTTCATATATAGAGCGCACTGCATTAGAAGGCGCATAGAAGCTACAATAATGGCTGCGGTTGCGCTATGCATCCACTAAATGGTGCTATGCTCCAGGAATGCAATACCATACAAAACAAGCCTTCGCAACCGCAACCAATTACAAAACAATAAATGAAAGACAAACGTTATAACGACAATTGATTCAACAAAAAGGCACACAAACCTCCACAAGGGGCTAAATATCCTTCGAAGTCTTGCTTGTCTCCTTCTTCCTTCGTTTTGTCAGTAGTTAATTATGCTTTTGGTATTATCTTCGTTTCATTATGGTTGCGCAGAGCTCACAAAGTTGTTGTCTGTTTGAATGTGTGTTGGCGAATGCACATGTCAATTCAAACCCTTTTACCTGACAACGGTTGCGCAGAGCTCACAAAGTTGTTGTCTGTTTGAGTGTGTGTTGGCCAATGCACGTCAATTCGAACCCTTTTACCTGACAACTGGTTCCTGCTATTAATCACCCCTAGATGGCATCGAAACACCTAACAGGGAAACAACTCAATGGGGAATGTAAAGGGTCTGTGATACCATATATAAGGCACATCAGATTATAGGGCGTACTGTCGGCTTTTGGGAAAATTGAATGCTTTTAGGTGCGCCTTACAAAATACGGTACATATTAACCTCTTACACAGTCGGAAATCTACTGCTCTCTGTGTGCCCAAGCCAAAAAAGTTGTTTTCATCATTCATTAAAACTGCAAAACCTCCCCAAAAAGTTTTTTTTCTTTTAAATTGCAGATCCTTCCTTTCAAGCTAATCTACCAAGGTGGGCCCTATAAGTGCATGTTGTTTCACATGAGTTGCTCTCAGAGGATGTGTGTATTTAAGCCTCACCGCACTCGCAGCCCCTCTTGAAGACTGAGGAGTTGTGTGTTCCGGTCACAGAAAAAGCACAACTGGATGTTGAATTGAATGAGATTGGGCCCTGGAGGTTTTTTTACTCCACTCTCCCCCACTCTGGGTGGTATTTCTTACGGGGATACCCCCACCAGCGACCTTAAGCCACATGACATGGAGAAAGGAGCAAGCAAGGACATGCTCCGCTTTATCTGTTCCACAGGAGGAGCTCAAATAGAGCATAACTCCACCACAAAACATGATCCCTATTGTTGAAATCTGCCTTGCAAAAAAAAAAAAAAAAAGAGATATCATCAGGAGACACCAGGCTGACAGAGACAACTATTTCCCATGGCGTCGTTTCCCCACATGGAATGTTAGCCAGTGGGCAGTCAATGCATGACTATATCACATAATTGCTGATTGATTAGACCTTCAGTTGCACGACCAAAGTAAAAGATAGTTTGCTTCCGTTTTTTTTTTTTTTTTTTTTTTTTTTTCATTTAACCCTTTCAGGGACAGCGGTCACTACAGTGGACAGCTTACCATGTTATCAGGTTACAGGGTGCAGGAAAGGGTTCAAATTAGGCATCTGAGACAATCGTCCATCTCTGACTGGATTGATAATCACTACATGGCTCTGGTGAGTCATGTTTGTTTCGGCATCCAGCAAACAACGGTGAATGTCCACAGACAGGTCGTATAGTACATACCAAGGTGTTGAGGGAGCTGACACTCCAAAATAGGGCTGAGGAGCTGTTTTCACTTGCTGTGTCTTCAGGTGCGTCTTTTTGCTGGTATTCGGCAGGCCGAAAGACGCGAAAGTTGTTTGTGTACGTGGCGGTTGAAGGTTATAAACGCTCTGTTGTGCTTCGTGTTGAACGAAGTAAAACTTTTACGACTGCGCGTGGGACTCGAAGCATCCTCAACTAATTCGGCCATTGTGTCTTATTTGCGAGAAGACGGCTATTTACGGAAATGCGGTTCTCAGTTTGCAAGTGGAATTATACAAAACGTGTGTCTTTCAATTTTTTTTTTGACAGGTGGAGAAACAGAGAGCAGATTTAGGCAGGGAACTCGAAGAACTCACAGATCGACTGGAGGAAGCAGGCGGCGTCACCGCCTCACAGGTAAAAAAAAAAAAAAAAAGTATCTTGCGGGGCTACATGCAATCCTCCCGCCCCACCGTAGTCAAATTATCCGACCCAAATTTTTTTTTTTATATAATTTATTTTTTATTTTATTTATTTATTTATTTATTTAAATATATTATTAAATATATTTATTCTGATTATTCTGATACTTGACCACCAGGTCCAGTGTTTAGTAGTCAGGTACTTGCATCAAATGTATTTTTCAATAAAAACGAATGATAATTTGGGGTCTCTTGGGCATGTTTTTTCAAGGAGCCCAATGTTTGGAATTACTGGAGTCATTCAAGGATATCAAGCCATCAGTAGTCCAGCTGTCAATTTTTACTGAGTGGTTTAGGATGATGGTTATCATTTCAAGAAACAGATGTGTTAAATTTGCTTTTATTCACCAAATAAAATTTTCTGGCTCAAAAGCGATGAAACTCACCACATTTCCTAGAAAATTAAAAAGAAGGAGCAGATTGAACCGTTAGTCTTGACGTTGACAGATGGAGATGAACAAGAAGCGAGAAGCGGAGCTCCAACGTCTGAGACGAGACCTGGAAGAGTCATCTATCCAGTCAGAGACTCTTGCTGCAACCATGAGAAAACGCCATGGCGATGTCATTGCGGAGCTAAGTGAGCAGTGTGAGGCTCTCCAGAGGACCAGGGCCAAATTGGAAAAGGAGAAGCAGAACTTGAGAATGGAAGTCGACGATCTGTCCACTTCACTGGAAGGTCTACAGAAAGCCAAGGTCCGTGAGTTAGGGGGATCAAGTAACCAAAAGCCTTTGTGACAAAAATTGTCACGTGTGTGGGCCTCACGTTTTTCTGTACGACCGCAGATGTCCTCAGATAGCCAGATGAAGAAATTGGAGGAGCAACTCTACGAGGCCAACAGGAGAGGAGATGACCAACAGAGGACACTCACTGAGCTCACTGTGGCCAAGAACAGACTCACAGGTACAGTCGTGACGGAAACGTTCTTCATGTGATGCTGAGCAGGATAAGCAAATATATCCCAAAAGTACGAAAAATTACTTTGCACACCAGAGATATGAGTGGTGGCATGTCAGTTTCAGACTGTTATCTATCATTGGTAGTCGGTGATGAAAGCAATACCGTATTGGCCCGAATATTAGACGGTGTTTTTTGCATTGAAATAAGACTGAAAAAGTGGGGGTCGTCTTATATTCGGGGTCTAGACATTATACCCATTCACGACACTAGATGGCGCCAGATATCATTGAAGCGAATGCTGAACTTGACTCCCCAGGCCAAAGTGAACCCCTGTCACGAAGAATAAAAATAAAAATAGCGGTAGCACGAAGAAGAAAAATAAAAAATAGCGATAAGAAGGAAAAGAGAAGAAAATAATAGAAGAGATAACAGAAAATGGAGAAACGTAGCGACAATCTGGAGAAAGGTGGGTCGAAGATCGGCCAGGTTAACCGGCAGCTGAGGAGAAGTTATGATGTAATTTACATTTCAAAAACCAGAAGCCATTCATTTACGAATGTGATTGCACTTTTGTTTGCATATTTAAATGTTCAGATATTAAGATTTGAATGAGGCAAAATAACATGCTTTTTCTCTCAAATATATTGTTAGAATCATTTGTTTCAGATGTACTGTAATTATTTTCCGTATAATAATTAATTTGGTGTTCAAAAAGTCTTTTTTCAAACTTGAGTCTTGAAAAAGAGTGGGTTGTCTTTTCATCAGGGTCGTCTTATATTCAGGCCAATACGGTAATTGGATATTGGATTGAAATAATAATTCCGTCGAAGTACATTGTGTCAATCAAATTTCCAATGTGCCCTCTCTAGCCGATAACACAGACACAAGTCGACGACTGGCGGAGGCTGAGAACAAATCCGGCCAGCTGAGTCGGACCAAGTCTCTCCTCCAATCTCAGCTTGAGGAACTGAAGAAACAGCTGGACGAGGAGGTCAAAGTAAGCGTCGCGGTGTGGATGCACAAAAGTTGAAAAGGAAACGGAAATGAAGTGTTTCACGTGGCTCTGAAGCAAACAAAGGAAATACCGAACGCGCGGGTGTCTTGTTGGTTGCCAGTGTAAGCAGGCGCTCGGCGCGAGTCTGGGCTCGGTTCGGCAGGAGTGCGAGGGGCTCAAGGAGCAACTCGAGGAGGAGCAGGAGAGCAAACAAGAGCTGCAGCGGCTCGTCTCCAAACTCAACAGCGAGGTGACGCACTTGAGGACCAAACACGAGGCGGACTCCATCCAGTATGCCGACGAACTGGAGGAAACCAAGTAGGTCAAGTTGATACTGGCAGTCTTTTTTTTTTTTCTGAAGACAGCTGCATTCCGGTCTACTGGTAGGAAATAATGTTTGCGTCACAGGAAAAAACTGGTACTGCGGCTGCAAGAGGCAGAGGAGGCAGCGGAGGCCACGCAAGCGAAATGCTCCTCTCTGGAGAAAACCAAACAGAGGCTCCAAGGGGAGGTGGAGGAACTGTGCATGGACCTGGAGAAGGTAGAGAACGGAAGTGTGCTTTATTCCCCCAAATGCCCTCGATTCTAAAATTTCAAGTCTGCTCTCCATTTTGAAGGCGAGCGGATGTGGACAGGCTCTTGATAAAAAGCAACGGCTTTTAGAAAAGCAACTGGGAGACTGGAAGCAGAAATGCGAGGAGCTGGTAGCCGAGGTGGAGGGCTGTCAAAAGGAGAGCAGGCAACACGCGGGCGAGCTTTTCAAACTGAAGACGGTACATGAAGAGTCTTTGGAGCAGCTGGAAGCTCTACGAAGGGAGAACAAGGTCTACCAAGGTAGAGTTTGATAGTTGACCCACAAGCCGATGATACACCCGCTCCCTAACGCGGAGGAGCCACTGCCATCAAAATCGACATATTCAGAGACGAACAAGCTCCCACAAAATAAATCACAAATGATCATCCTCTCTCAGTTTCAATTTCTCCTCTCCTTCGAGGCCAAAGGGTAGATAAAATGGTTGTGGCAAAACACAATGGCAAAGAAAAGCCTAAGTAGCCTAATAATTAAATTCCATTGGCAACGCTGAACACACACACACACACACACACACACACACACACACACACACACACACACACACACAAAAAAATGGAGATTTTGAATCGTTTTTTTATATTGGTTGAAAAAGTCCCAAATCTTCAGATTTCATGAAAGCAAACAATTTATCCATTTATATAATTTAAAGAAAATAGGACATCATGGACATCAGGCCGGCAAACCGATCGACATTTTCTGACATATTTTGTGACCTGAACACAAGCAAAAAATAAATAATAATGATAATAATAATCATAATCATAATAATAATAATAATAATAATAATAATAATAATAATAATACAGGCCACCAAAAGGCAAATTAATAATCAGACCAATTACTTCATTCTGTGTGTTCAGGTAAATACGTGCTTTTAATCTGTCAATATAAATTACAGGTGTCAAACTCAAGGCCTGGGGGCCAAATCTTGCCCCGCCACATCATGTTATGTGGCCCGCGAGAGCAAATCATGTGTGTCAATTTGCATGATCCTTGCGAAAATATGCACCGAAATGTCAAATCGGCATGTGTCGTAAATAAGAAATGAGATTTTGCAATAATTTTGTTGTCGTGTTGATGCTCCCTTGAACAATGGAATAAACTATTATAGTTGACTGATTTCGAAATTACTAATCCAATAATTTGTTGCGTACGAATAATAATGCGAGGAGACGTTTCAAAATGTGTTTGTGGTTTCAACTGTCATAGAACGGCCCTCCGAGACAAAAATGAGATTGACACCCCTGATAGGAATGATTCAAATGTTTACATTGAGCATAAATATATGTTACTGTATTTTGAAATCCGTACAACATTTGCAGACTCGATTGCTTGACAGTTTTTTGAAGCATTCCGGTTGTACGTGTGGATTGATCGAATGGCTGTTCATGATTTGTTCAAGGGAGCTCACAACAATGTATGATCACATGTTGAAAGGGAATTAAAATCATTTTATGGCTGTAAATGTTAAGCTATCCTTACTTGCAGAGGAGATTGCGGATCTCACGGACCAGCTCTCAGATGGAGGCAAGAGTGTCCATGAGCTCCAGAAGGCCAAGAAAAAGATCGAGATGGAGAAAGAAGAATTACAGGCTTCGCTGGAAGAGTCCGAGGCGGCTTTAGAGGTCCGAGGCTATTTCATTTCCATTTTACACCGAATCAAAATGCTCCTCATTTCAATCCTGATCAGATTTATTCCTTTTAGGCTGAGGAAACCAAGTTACTGAGGTTGCAGCTGGAGTTATCTCAGACAAAATCAGATCTGGAGCGCAGACTTCAAGAAAAGGAGGAAGAGATTGATGCTGCTCGGTACCTCATCTCTCGGAGAGTCCCCTCTCCCCGTCTTTTATGCTTCACACACTTTCTGTCTGTAATACTGTCTTCAATTTCCTTTTCAAACCTTCAATGTACTCCAGTGGTAAGTCTTGTCTCATTCTGCTTTCTCTGCCTTCCATAACAGCTTGGGTGCAATAAAATTCAACATTGAAGCCGAAGCTTGATCCTCACTCTGACCTCTTGACTTCTTTGTCAGAAAAAGCCACCAGAGGGCGCTGGAATCACTGCAGGCCACTTTGGATGTGGAGATTAAAGGTCGCATGGAGGGAGCAAAGCTCAAAAAGAAACTCGAGGCTGATGTGGCTGAAATGGAGCTTCAAGTGGATCTCCTCACTAAGAGCAACACTGAGTTCACCAAGAGCAGTAAAAAGACTCAGCAACAGATCAAGGTTTGATGACGGCATGCTCATTTCACCATCGTGGTGTTGTACTACTGCGCAAACTCGTGTGACTCCTGTCTTCTCCAGGAGCTCCAGGCTCAGCTTGAAGAGGAGGTGAGGGCCCGCGAGGAGCACAAGGACGAGATGGCGGCCTTGGAGAGACGTTGTGCGCTACTGGTCAGTGACGGTGAAGAGACTCGTTCCGCCCTGGAGAATACAGAGAGAGTTCGCAAAGCCTTGGAGGTGGAGTTGCAGGATGCCAACGAAAAATACAGCGATCTCAACAACCAGGTGACTTTTGATCTCTCGGGCTAAGAGTAGGAAATTTAGCGTTTGAAGAAATGCAATGTGATTTAAAAACAAAAAAATGTCTGAGGGAGGGAGTGCTGCGCAGTTGTGGGGGTGGTCACAGCCACTCATGGCAAATCAAAGCGTCTAGTCTCGTTCGTTTTAAACAACTCCCACAGGCGCATTTCCAACGACACTCCCGATGCTGTGCCCAACTTGACGGAGACCGGTCGAGCAAACAGCTAGCAAACAGCTAGCAAAGAGCCTTGTGTCTTTTGGAAAATCAGGATATTCCACAGATGTGCAGTCTACCAAACTCGAGCCTAAAATCTGTTGAGGCGTTTCGTAACTTGAAAATTTTGTATGAAGAGACGTTCGTTAGTAGAGGAATCAAGAAATCATGAAATCCCGAACAGAGATTAACCAGACCCGTGAATTCATTACGTTTCTGTTTTTTTAATTTTTTTTTTTTAGTTCCAGTCGGTTCTGAGTGGGAGGAGGAAGCTGGAAGTGGATATCCAAGCTCTTCAGCATGAGCATGATGAGCTCCAAGGAGAGCTGAGAGGATCAATCGACAAATCCAAGAAGGCCAGCTGCGAGGTAAAAACGCACACACCACAGGAACCCGTGAAGCGATGCGATCAATAAGCTGCTGATTGTCGATAGTTGGCCAGAGTGGGGGAGGAGCTACGCCTGGAGCAAGAGCACACCATCCATCTGGAGAAGGTGAAGAAAGGTCTCGAGGCTCAGGTGAAAGACATGAGCGCCAAGCTGGAGGAGGCGGAGCAAATGGCACTAAAAGGTGGCAAGAAGATCATCCAGAAATTGGAAGGAAAGGTAAACTGCCGCTCAGTATTTTTAACCCAATGCGGTAGTTTTTCTTTGACGATTTATCGATCCTTTGAGTGAGAAGCCTGCTGTTTCGTACCATGCTTCTCGAAAGTCGCCCCTCATCTGTCATGTGAGGTTTTGCTGAATCTCAGACATGTCCAAAATGCGGTTGGCCTTCACCACGATCTCGTGCAGTTGCAAAGAACTGTATGTTTTAAATTGCAGCATGTCGTCCACCCCAATGTGCCTCTCTGTCTTGATTTCCCACCACACTCGATAACCAGTTTGAATTGAACTGTCAAAAAACAGTGCTTCTCGAATCATAAGCTCTATTTCCAGAAATACCGATTGCTGACATTGGATGGAAACTTTGACTCTCCTAAACCATCACTTACTCGGAACCCCCCTAAAAAAATGTCGTGGTTTTTGAGCCATTAAAATTGCCAAAGAGAGGAAGTCAGTTTTACCAATTTATATTGGTCAATAATTTATGAATATCACAACAAGGCCAGAGTACGAATGGTTAATGCGGGCACAACATGCAAAACTGATTTCATGCGCGCATGTGTTTGTGTGTGTGTGTGTCCAAATAGTTGAGTCTCAAGAGTGCCAGCCCATCTATCCGGTGTGAAATTAACCAATAAGTAAATCTTTTCTCACCTGCATATTGCTGAAAGTGCGCTAGCCGTTCTGCACTTCCGCTTGCTGTTACGTAGAGGTGGAGCTAATTTGCATAAAGACGAAGAGACGCTCAAGAGACAGAAAAGACAGTCCAACGCAGGCTGAAAGGCACATACTCCCCCTTTGCAAGTTGATTACCGCTCGTCGCTAATGTCATGAACGCCGGAGATGCCAGTGGTGATGGCTGGTTCACTTGCATTAGAGTCACAGTGGTTCTTAACCTTTTGACAGGTACCGAACCCAACCAGTTAATTTGCACATTCACCGAATTTTTTTTAATAAATTCAAGATATAAAAAAAAAAACACATTTATTAAAAACAGAAAAAAATTTAAATAACATTTTAGTATAGTTGTTTTTTTTTTTTTATAACTGTACGACGTACTATCACGACAGTCACACGTTGACTACGAAGCGAACTAAATTTCCCGCAGCACTGATTGGACAAGCAATGTCCTGTGATCATCTGCAGCCAGTAATGGCCAAGCGGGCGTGTCATAACTAATTAACATGTTGAGTCGGGTGTGTGTTACCCTCCATGGCAGAGGCTCCGTCGAACCCCTGAGACCGACTCACTGAACCCCACGGGTTCGATCGAACCCAAGTTTAGAACCACTGTATTAGACAGGACAGGAACCTAAAAGAATGCCAAAAAACAGATGTGGCTTTTCAATATGTCTGTGCGAGAATTGCAGGGAAAAACTTTTGACTTGACTTGACTTTTTGTGGTTTGGCTTTTGTGGTGGTGGTGGTGGTGGTGGGGTGGGGATGGGGGGAGCAGTACAAGAGCATCACTGCCCTCTGTTGTCACATGCTGTAATTGCAAAGCGATGCTGTGGATGCAGGTGAAAGAGTTGGAGCTCGAACTGGAGTCCGAGCAGAAGCGACACGGCGAGACGGTGAAGACTCTGCGGAAGAATGAGCGCCGGCTCAAGGAACTTGTCTTCCAGTCTGAGGAGGACCAGAAGAACCAGCAGAGAATGCAGGAGCTGGTGGAGAGGCTGCAGAACAAGATGAGGGCCTACAAGAGACAAGTGGAAGAGGCTGTATGTGTGTTTTCCACGTTTTCTTATCATTCTCTATGTTTCACCAAAAAGAACAACTTAATTATTATTATTATTATTTCTCAATCAATTCAAACCAATTCAAATTAAACTCTGCAAAAAAAATTGGGAAAACTTCAGCTATTTTCATTTTTCAAAAGCACGCTACATCACATGTGTCAAACTCAAGGCCCGGGGGCCAGATCTGGCCCGCCACATCATTTTATGTGTCCCGCAAAAGTAAAATCAAACATGTCACCTTCCATGATGCTTTCTAAAATGTCGAACATTTTTAATTCTCCCATGGAATAAATAAGAAAGACATTGGAAGTACTTTCTTGTTACCAAGCCCTTCATGACTTTAACATGAATTGAATCAACAGTTATTCTTGACTTCTTTATATGGTTTGAGTCATAACAGCTCTCCAAGCAAAACGGTCAATAAAATGTGGCCCGCGACAAAAAAATGAGTTTGACATCCCCTGCGCATCATTTCACAATGTATCTCTCAACAAATGATCGCAGGAGGAGCAAGCCAACATGAACTTGGCCAAATACAGGAAGACGGTCCATGAACTGGATGACGCCGAGGAACGAGCTGACATCGCCGAGTCGGCACTGACTAAGATAAGGACCAAGAAGAGAGGCAGCTTCAGCAAGGGATACTCCTCTGTATGTCATCACAGCCTGATCTGGCTCTTTATTACATTCGATTGGATGTGTGAATACTATATTGTTCATACCTAAGGTGTATGAATAACTTCAGGTGTAATACGAATAGGCCTGCAGTCAAGCCCAAAATTACACATACCCCTGCGGTTTGAATAATTTTGGGCTTGACTGAAGAAAAATAAGGACGATTACGTCACTGGTCCAGTATGACTGTGCCCCAGTGCCTATGGTGTGTTTTTGTTCCCCACCTGCAGGGTTACAGCACGCCGCATCCCGGTCTGGTGCGGTCGGCCAGCTCCGTGGGCTCAGAGGGCCGAGGCGAGAAGATGCTCAACGACGACGGCGAGTCCGTCAGCTCGCTCATTCCGGCTTATCTCAACTCTCTCAAGAAGCTGATGATTGACTAGAAAAGTTGAGTTTTCTACCGTGTGACGTCCATCCCATCCCCCCGATGACATTTGAAGAAATGACGTTCAAAGCAGTATGAAGTCTTGAGAGAGACGTAGGACTGAAATTGTGTTTTTCTCCACTTTCACATGATGAACAAAACCCCGGCGTCGAGTTGCGCTCTCATTATTTTGACATGAACAACACGTTTGTTTTATTTTTTAAGCACACTTCATCTTATCCTGTACCTCCTATATGTATTCATAGTGATATTTAATAGTGTGGTTAAACAAATGAAATCTTCTGCCGTATTTCCTCATGTGGTGGCCTTTGATCTAATACAGTGTGTTGTCCTCTTCACATCAATAACTAGACAATATATAATAAAATATGCCCGGCACTCTTTGTATTTGAGTTAAAAAAAAAAAAATTAAGATGCACTTTATACATCAGTTGGAGACAATTTGTCAGCAAGGATGATTTTGGTTTAAAAATGCAAAGAAAGTATCATAACATGAATCCAGAAGTGAATTTGTCGAGGCTGACGTATTGAATATAAAAAAAAAGTAGCCAACCTGACAGGTGGTCAATCAATTATTCATTTAAAACTATTAGCTGGGTACAAAGTGCTATTTTATTGTTAACTGATTTATATGCAATTTGCATTTCCATTCATTGATTTTTGTTGATGTTGTTGTTGTTGTTGTAAACATTACATGCACAGCTATTCAATTTTTATCAACAATGCAGTCTATCCATCAAAAAAAAAAAAATCTGTGTCATGGGACTCACTCATCACTCAAGGCTAATAACAAATAAATTGCGCTTCTTGTAAAATTTGATATACAGGTGCCACCCACGTGGGCAGCTATGTTCTCTAAAAATATTGAATAACATTGTTGTCTTTTGTTTTTAAGCACATCCTATGACTGCCCTTGACTGTAACAAAGCTTGAGCAAACCATTTTATTTTTTGAATGTGAAATGTTGTTTTTGGAAATAAAAAGATGTACTTTGAGTTGTTAATTTCATCACCTATCAATCTGACTTTGGTGCTTTACTGTTTGAGACTAGAAACAGGAGACCTCGGACCTCAGACAATTAATTTTGAGCCATATCGTGAAATTTTGGGTTGGTATTAAAAAGAAAAAAAGTCTTTACATCTTTGTACCCGTGAATTTTGAACAAAGTGATATTCCTTGAAAACCAACATAAAATATAGCTTGAAAAGATGACAACATTAATGAATAAGAAAGTAAAGCAATCATATATTAAAAGAATCGCAATTAAATTTTAAAAAATACCAACTGCTCTGGCTGTGCACACATTGGCCTCGTGGGGGCAGCGTTGTGCCATGCATGCGTGGGGTACACACTTACATTGAGAGAATAAGAAAGGTGAGATCGAACTCTACGAACGTAACTTATTTTTTCACAGATTGTGTGCCTTGACGTATTGTTACCTGTGTGGAAGTGTTACTCTAGCGTTTGTTTGTGAATAATCATTATTTTAAGGAATATAACTCAGGAAGTTGATGCTTATTTCCGGTTAGCATGTCTGTATGTGACTTTGCCTTATTGCCCTTGTTCATTGTTGTGGTGTTACTGGATTTTAGATATTTCGTTTGTGTATTCTCGGTGTTCCATTGAGCCTTGCCTTTGCAAGCACTTTTTATTTCATGCATTGTTTTTCCTGGCTCCTTGTGACCAGCGATTTTGTTGTGTACTTTGTCCGTGCGATTTTCTGTAGTAAGTATTTAAATATTTAGTTATCGCACTTTATCTGAGCCTGCAGTTTTGGAACCCAAAAACGTTATTTGGTTCAGTCTGAACCTGATATTAATTGGCACACAAATATATGTTGGTTGTTTTTTTTTTGTTGAATATCCTTCAGCCGCTTCAGTATTGCATATCACATGTGTACAGTGTACCTTTACACTACTGACAAACAAATAGAACTTTATGAAGCACTTGGGATAATTTTGGGCTCCTCTAGATGGCACTCTTGGTTTAAAGATGTAGTGGAAATTTCATACATTTCTTGTGCACTGGCCTTTATCTTTGAACCTATCTTGTGAAATAAAAAAATATCTCTAGTGCTTCATGAAGCTTCATTTTCCCCTTCTTACTTTACACCATAGTCCCTGATCAGAATAAATGCCGATAGGAAATACATTTCTCACTGAATTTGATTCACATATTTAGCTCTAAATTTGCAATTTATAGATTTTTCAAATAATTTTTTTGAAACTGAGATTTTCATTCTGTCGTCAGTGCTTGGCTGATCACAACTTGCTGCCCAATAATTTCCAATTGATAACAATAATTGCAAAAATGTATTAATTTGCTTTAACATCTGCTGCAATTTTTAGCAAGTATGGCTACATACGTACACAAATGACCATATCAGTCAACAAAAGCAGACAGTTACTTGATTCATTTTTTTCAACGTGAGAAATTACAGAACAGTACAACCAATATATGGAATGTCACGTAGGATTTAGGTATGGGAATGATGTTTGAAACATTTGGACTCATCCTTGTAAAAATTATGTTCGACTGAAATGAAAACTAGTACAATTACGAATACAAAAAATAAAAACGGCTAGAAGACTCATATTTTGGTTACAAATGCACAATTTACTCAATATCCACATCAGTAACTTGTGGATTACTTCCATTGTAATGCCTTATTCATTTTTGTGATACGATTTCTGATTATGTCCATTAAGTATTTGTAATCGTCGAACGTAGTGGTAGTCAAAATGAAATCACTAATCTAAAAACACGTCAGTCAAAAGGTATTGTGAACGTGTATGGTTAATGGCTGCATCAACCGACGCAGAGCTTCATGGAATACTTTCAGGTGTAGCAACAGTGTGAGGGGAGAGGGTCAGTAACTGCATGTGATGTATCATAGTATAACATCAGCCATTAAAGTGTACACGGAGCTACAACACTCATCGCTCAGAATGCAATTCGCTCCGCGGCATCCGTTCAATTATTTCTGCCAATAAATCCCAAAGTCGCACGGGTGAGAATGATCACACAGAGCAAAAGCACATTTAAAAACAGCAACTTTTACATCCACTGCAGCATGGCAAAAAGGGGGTAATTTAACACGTGTACATTGTCCACTGAGGGGCTTTCTTTATCCTTGAGACAAAGTCTTTTGCATCACTATAAGTGTCCATTTGCTTGCATAAAGAAAAAAAGTTGGCTTGATCTGACCACGAACTTGACATCATCATCATCTTCAGCAGGTTCTTGATGGAAGGTTATCACCACCACCCTTTGTGTGTAAAGTCATATGAGGATCGTTGCTGCTTTAGTGATCCAACACACCATCACCCCACTCCCCCCACCAAGGTCAAGCAGACATGTTGCCTTGCCTCCAAGGTGAGCTGTTTACAGTTTATATCTCGATGTCCACAGGCCTAATGTCTCCCGTCTTATTCTCCTTCACCCAGACCTCCCGGTCTTTGGCGGGGTCCACGGACTGTAAAAGCTGGTCCACCGGCTCCATCGTCTGGACAACAACAGAAACAGCAGTCTTAAGTAAACCCGTTGACCGCACAAAATCTGGTCTCGAGCTAACATACGCTTTGATTGAACATGTCCGTCTCGTGTCGTAGCGTGGTGTACTGACACATGTGCTGCCGGATCATCTCCACTCGCTCCAACTCCAACCGTTCCAACTCCTGCAGAATATACAGCAGGTCACATTTAGGACATGGAAAAAGCGTCATTATGCATCTGTAACCTCATGATAAGCTGTCCACTGTAGTAACCGCTGTCCCTGTAAGGGTTCACACGCTGTCATTTACGTAAATGTTTACCCACTGTTATGCTCGGTAGATTCGTAGCGTCGTTATTTACATTCCCCAAATCGTGAGATCCACACATAAACTCACCAGACTGGTGGTGACCATCTCCTCAAACCATTTGGACTGCGATTGGTTGTATAGGTCCACGCAGCGCATGAGCTCATCTCCTATTAACGTGAACAAAATATAGATTTGACATGTGCACATGTCACACATTAGATTTGTGCGATTCAACAGCAAATTCATCAGACAACTTGGAATAATCGTCAAGTGCCTGAACTTTAATATCCGATGCCTCACAAAATGTTTTTGTACTCCAACTTCAACTTGTCCTCCCCAAAGAAAGAAAAACTTGAACGCTCTTGATTTTGGTTAAGAAATGACAATTGTAAGATGAGCCTTGGAGAGAAAAAAAAAAGTGGTCTCATTTTTGATACACAAAATGTGTGAACAACAGTAAACCAAAAAAAAAAAGAATCACAGAATACAGAAACCACTTGTCCAAACAGGAAGTACAGTCAAACTTGCTCATAAGGAAACAAAAACAAAATGATGTTGGGGAAAACCCGAGTCGAAGTAAATGACACATAACGAGAGCACGGTCCAAGAAATGAGTCTTTATTATGGGAGCTACTGTTGTTGTTACGGTATCATTCTTTGCGCCTCTTCCCTCACACTCAAGTGATTGCAGGCAAGCAGACCGAACGAGCGGCATCAACAACCGTTGCTGTTTTTTTTTCCTTCGTTGCATAAGCGCCACAGAGGAGGGAAGACTGCGCTCTGTTGTCCGCACACAGAGACTCTTTGGATGGAGGCTATTCACAACTTGTTTGTGACAGCATGCGGTCGGTGCCTGGCTGAGTCATGACATCACATGGCATAGAGAGAGTCGACATCTGCTTTTTCCTCCGAGCGACACGTTTTTTTTCGGAAATGTGTTGCTATTCAAAATTCACCTTTACAAACCGAGCCCCGTCCAAGCCGGACGGACATTCCATTTGTACTCTTACCACTTCGGGCTCTCTTTTCATATCCAGCGCAAGCCTACTGCTAGATGTGGTAAAAAAATCTGCACACGGTGACCAATCACTTCACCTGTTGGATGAAGCTGAGCCACGATTGGTTGTTACTTGAGCCCTGAGCAACTGTGATGTCATTTTCAGTGGACCGCGAGTGGCAAAATGGCCGCACTCCTGAGCTAGCTAAAAACGGATTGATTGTGCCGCTTAATTCATATTCCACAAACACTGTCAGACTCAGAATCCCATGTTTGAACTAGACGAGACGCACAGAACGTATTTTTGTAAAGACATTTTTGGGGTGACTTCCCTTTTAGTGAAACAAAACTGAAGCAGAGCCACGATTGGTTGTTACTTGAGCCCTGAGCAACTGTGATGTCATTTTCAGTGGACCGCGAGTGGCAAAATGGCCGCCCTCCTGAGCTAGCTAAAAACGGATCGATTGTGCCGCTTAATTCATATTCCACAAACACTGTCAGAATCAGAATCCCATGTTTGAACTAGTGGAGGTGCACAGAACATATTTTTGTCAGGAAATGTTTGTGTTGACTTCCCCTTTTGTGTAACTAGCATCTGACAAAATACTTTAGCTTGATGATAATGCTGATGTATGCGTCCCATGACGTTGTTGATCGTTCCCGGTTTCACATGTGGCTTAAAACATTGTATCTTTATCAGTCTGTCGTCATGCAGAAAGGCAATGCGCTCGAATCACCGGTCGATCGACATTCCAACCCTCATCTAGATCTGCGGGTTGTGACTGAAAGAACAAGATCACAGATACGAACGTTTCCTCCGAGGGGGTGCAGGCCTTCCGTTAAAGATAAAGTGGACGTATGCTGCAGAAATAATCGTGTTCTGATCTGACAAAAAGAATGGAATCGACATATTTATTATATGCTAACTGCCACGGGTCAGTTGTTTTGCGATGCAGGTGGCAATTGAGTTTTTTGGTCTACCTGATAAAAAGTTAACAGCCGAGTGTGACTTTTGACCCACCCCTCCCGCGACTCTGACCTGCTTGAGTGGATTTCCTGCGGGCTTTCTTGATGTCTTCCTCAGTCTTGGTATTGAGTTTGATCTCCAGCTGCTGAGTTTTCAACTCCAATTCCTTCTGTCTGTCAGCCAGAGCTTTACGGGCCTAAAGGGTACACGCGTTATAGACACCCAAATATGTAAAGGAAAAAAAGAAACGTTTTCAGACTACTCTCGGAATATGAAAAGTGTGGCAGTGGAATGTATTCAGACATCTTTACTCTGATACCCCGAAATACAATTCAGCGCTAGCTAATTCAGGATTTCAATCGCGTGACATTCAGTTACTGGGAGAGAACTGTCTCATGAAAGTGTGTCTACCTTTTCCACCGAAACATAGCGAGTCGCGAGCTGCTTCCGTAAGTCCGCAATGTGATGGTCGAACCTCTTCATGTCTTTCTTAAAGTTCTCCCTGAAGCTCAGCAAAGGTTTCTCCACTTCACTCTGCAGCTGAACCACAGCATAAAACATAGAGTGGTTTATTAACAGCCATGGGCTGCTGTGATTTTTTATTTTTTTTTTGTTTCTTTTCAAACATACCTTTTGACATGTTAAGGCTTTTTCACAAGGCTTGAGTAATAATGACAATTAACGGGACCCACTGGAAATATGGGGAATACCCAAGCTAGCATGTGCAGCAGATGCTAACAGTATGAAATTAAAAAGCCTTATCTGCATCAGGCTTCAGATCTTTCCAAAACTTCCACACAGATGTTTTAAAAGACAATATATATATATATATATATATATATATATATGTGTATGCATGCGAAAAGGTTATGCGTCGGAGAAAAGTGTCAATTACTTTTGAGGAGAACTTCAGGTGAACCTCCCCTTCATCAGCCAGACTTTTCTTCAACTGGGCCCAAGCCTCCCCCAACGTCCTGAGAGGAGAGAGGGACCACACACACTTTTACGTTAAAAAAAAAAAAAAAATGGGTAGAAAGTGTCGAGGAAAGGGAGGAGTGCGGCAGATGACGGTGAGCACGCACAGCTGGGGATGAGTAGAGGGGTCGGTGCAAAAGTTCAGCAGCTACACCACTAACCAGTAAATCTGGAGAGCTGCAGGTCCAAATGCAGTTCAGCACATAATTAGGATGTATGAGACATGTGATCCGCTCCTTGCCTTGTGGCTCAACTTTGGGCTACATAACCATGATGAGATGTTGTGCTTTCTCAAAGATAAATTAGCTCATCATATTATGCAAAGATTTTGCACGTCTTTTTGCAAGACCGGACGTTTGTTGTGACAGAAAGAAGGTGGATGTTTATTAATGAGCGCAAATAGGAAGGAGAGGGGGAAGAGGCGGACGACTTTAGGGAAGCGGGTTGTTTCAGAGTCGTCAGAGGAAGACAAATTCAGTTCACCCAGAGTCGCTTCTAAAAGCTCGCCCCATACCGAAACAGTCATTCAGTCACTT